TTTAACATAACAGCAAATGTACAACGTTTCGACAAGGTTTTGTCATCATCAGGTACCTTATATTAAAGTTTTTCTTCATTACCCATTCAAGCCGTCTCCAACCATTATTAGTCTCAAAGTGGGTTCCTCATCATCGAAAATACTGTAAGTAAATACATGAATCTTTAAATTAGTATACAAACACCTGGTTAATGAACAGACATGCACACACACAGAGATAAAAAAAAATACTGAAAACAAGGAATAAGTTTAAGGTACATGTTTATACTTTAGTGCTAATTAATCAACGTAATTTCACTAAATTGAATTCAATGGGTATATATATTTTAATGTGGATGTTCCCTTTACATACTCCTCTTTCAGGAATTTGAAGGGAAACTTAATTATGTTCCTGAATTATTTCCAAATCTCAAGTCTATAGGGATACATGAAATTTTTGCTTATTGTGACTTTTGATTTTTTCCATAAGATTTACTAATCAATTGTTTAAAAACTGTTGCTTAAAAGAAATGAGTAACTTTGAGTTACAATTTTTAATAACCTTTAAAAGTATGTTACTGTAATAATGGGAGAATTGTAGATATGCAAGTTCAGCTTATAAAACCAGTTTCAAAACAGCACATGTAACCCCATTACAAGCCTTCGTGAATACATCAAAAGCACAAGTAACTCCATTACAAGCCTTCATGAATACATCAAATAACCTTAACTTTCATATTTTGTTTCGATAACCTCTAAAACCTCTTAAATGAATAATAAATGGGGGGGGGGAGAACTTTTATGCTTTCCCTCTTATTTTCTCCACCCCTAATACTAAACTGTAATGAGATTACCTGCAGTAATAGTTGAAAAATATGAAATAAAGGCAAGATTCATCTACCTTTGCTTTTTTATATTAGAAAGACTGCAGATTATAAGACATATAAAATTATTTATCATAAGAGCTTCAGACTTCTTTACAACTACTTTCATTTAATTTTATTGCTTTTTGAACCACATCTAGCTACAGTAACAAGCAGTAAATCACAAGGTAAGCAGAGTAAACAAATATATCAGATTACATGTACATCTGTCTAAGTGCTGATCGAGCAGTGACGAGGAAAAAATTTTGTATTTTCTTCATTTATGTTTTCTTTACTAACCTAATATGTTTTTCATTTGTAAATTTTTTTATTAAAAAATGTACATAAAGAACAAGAAATTTACAACCTACCTAAGCTCTGAGCCATTTGAACTCGAGTGCCCGCTTTCATTATCATAATCTTTTTTAACTATGTTGGTTGTCCAAAAAATAATTCATGTAGTTTTCTTTCAACTATGCATTTTAAGACATAATAATTCCAACAGTAAAATTCCAACAAAGAGATGCTGAAAGAATGGAATAACAAGTCATATGTTCAAAGTACACACTTATAATTTAGTACTACTTAATCAACATAATTTCATTAAATTTAATCCAATTTATGTATTAATGTGGATGTTCCCTTTCTATACTCCTTTTTTAGTAATTTGAGGAAAACTTGATTACATTTCTGAATTATTTAATAACCTAAAAGTTTATATGGATATAGGATTTTTTCTGCTGCTTCTTAAGACTACTTTGAGCTTTTACATACAATTCACTAATTAGTTGTTTAAAAACTGTTGCTTAAGGAGAATGAGTATAAAAGTTTGATTTTTGGTAACAATCTTTAATAACCTTTACCTGCATATGCGCTTATTATAATATGGAAGAATTGTAGATACCCAAGCTTCAACTTATAAAGCTAGTTTTAAAACAGCACATGTAACATGCCTTCCTGAGGGCACAAAATCAGATTAAGTTCTCAATGTTCCAATACTACAGAGACCAGAATAGCAATATTTTGACTTCAACAGCCCATCTCTATCTGCATTCCAATAGATGACAACTTTTCCATATTAACTGAAACATAGCCTAAATCTTACTATAACAAGTCAGTCAATATTATTTACAAGATGAACTGATAGTACAAGGTCATTAAACATCTAGCCTTAAATGAAACTTTGAATAAATAAAGCTTTTTACTATTTAACTATATACTTGAAATGTCATCAAACTCACAAGATAAGTTTTGTTCAAGCTTTTTCGCTGATGAATACCATAAAATGGTTACCACCACCAACTTTATTGAAAGGTTTGTCGAACATATTACCTGTCTACTTCAGTTACTCTATTTCTTTATCAATTATCTTTCAAAATTATCTGTCCTTTCTTAATCTTCAAACTAGCAATTTGTTTATGAAACATGGAGGGTCCACCTACAAAGTAGTTTTACTTCCAAGCCTGAACAACAAAAATGGGTGAAATCACTGATTTTCTAGGTAAAATACACACACAAAAAAGAAAGAAATGAATTAGTGGGATAAATTACAATATTGGTATTTCTTTTGATATTTGTTGTGTAACTCTAATGTTGTATATATATTGCAAGCCATGGTGTCTGTCCGAACATTCGTCTGTCTTCTGTTTGAAAAGCTGAAAATGCAGGCAAAGCTCAACATTCACTTTTGAAATAACAGGAGAACAGGCATGAATAATGCTGATGCCAAATTTTATTTCACCAGATATTCTATATGAAACTGTTAGGAATTAATCACACTATCATTCACATTTCTAAAATGTGACATAACTTGAAAGAATAAAAATGTAGATTTACTGTATGTTATTGTTGAGTGGCTCTTGGCATGACTGAAATGCTCAATAATTACTTTTCATGGTGGGTGGTATAAGTAGCTCAGAGCCAAAGCTCTGAGTGAAACTGAGAATGCAACACAATTAACCTTTTTAAGGTCCATGAAATAATTTAAGTTTATAGATTAACTTAAATTTTTCCCACCACTGGGGATGGGTATTTTTGTTTGTAATATATGAAACCATCAAAGTCATGGGTCAAGAAGCAAATAGTTTAGAAACGTGTTTAAAAATCCAATGAGGGTACGTACCAAAACCAACTGGTAATACTAGGATTGGGATGTAAAAAATTGTTTTATTACAATCAAATGAAAAAGCATTAGCACAATTTGGTTGAACACACAATTACATTTTAATTATATGAAATCCTGCAATCAGAAACATGGTGATGAATAAAAGCAGGCACCCTGAGTATTATCAACTCAAAATTACTCAATATTATATGAAGAACACAATAAATAAAAGAAAATAAAGCTCCTTTCTAAATGCTATTTATGTTTGATATATAGTTTGAGTCATTCTATCTCTAACTGATTCCATCTGGCACTATGACAAGCCACGACTTACATAACTTAAAGGATCAGAAACCCCTGATTAACTTACAAGTTATTCTTGACTGTTAAGTGACAACTAAAGCTCTCGATTCATAATAGTAGTTAATGAATATCTGAACAATTACACAATACTAAATTACATGCTTGCCTCTCATTATGTGATCCTTATTTAACTGGACTAAATCCACACAGTAGGAACATTTTCATATCTTGAGTACAAAATAATGCTTTTCAAACCACACTATGGTCCAAAATCTAATGTTTCAGTATAAGTCGTTCTTAATTTTTAAGATCTGGTTACTAAATCTAACATACCTTTAAAAATGTCATAATCCATTTTTAAACCACAGAAGACTAAAAATTATTAAAATAACTTGTAAATAAGCATGTATCTAAATGTCACATTCAATACATTCAATAAAGTATTAGATAATAAACAATAAAATATTGTGTATGAAAGTATCATACAAAATTTGTCACACACCACCACCAATTCGTACACGTGACACACAGATCTAGAAATTCATTTCAACATTAGCTGTATTCTATACAGCAAAAATTATACCAAACTCACAAAACTATGTGTGTGTACGTGTGAATACACCACACCATACCTACAGCATGTACAAGCTAACTGACAGCAAAACTTTAACTGCCACTAATAAAACAGGTATACAAATACTTTTTATTCTTAGCCTCACTTCTTATGAAAAATGCTTGCCATCACCTAATGATGAAGTGCTTACCATCTCGTATGTTATCCCAGTCAATGCCTTGAAACCAGGGATGCTGTTTAAAATCTTCTATCCCATTCTGACCAAGTCGACAGTCAGCACTACAAATTAACTTCTTCATCAGGTCTTTTGCATCATCTGACACTGTGACAGTTGGGTCATCTGGGATAGCAAAGCATGTCTGTGGAGGACAATGTAAGAAAGAAAAGAGTAAAGAACTAAACTGCTATATTTTCAAGTACAACAGTGATTTGTGTTTTTTTGAGTGCTTTTTGGAAATTTGTTTGTTTTATTTTATCTCCTATAACATTTAATTCCAAAATGGCTAAAAACTGTAGTTTAAAGTTAGTAATGCTTAAATGACTAAAGACTAAAGTGAAAATAAACATATAAACTCATCAAGTGGTTTCTCTATATAGATGTACACCATACTAACCTTATGACTCATGATCTTTCCATAAGTCTCAACCAAAGATTCTGCATAAAAGGGAGTTTCCCCATACAGCATTTCAAACATGCAGACCCCTAAAGACCACCAATCACATTCAGGTCCATATTTTCCTTGCCCATCTTCCATTGCCTGCAAAACAATTCTATTAAGAATATAGCCTCAAAACATCGAAGATAGCTACAAATGTACACTTAACAAGTTTTCAATTAACAACAACTACTAATCACAATAGAGGCACCAGATAGCCTTGCTCACATACATAAGCAAAAGTCCCTTTGTTAGCATGAGGTGATCTATTCTTGTATTGGCTAATTAGGAAAGAGATGTTTTAACACACCTTTTATGTGTATACTTAATTTAGTACAGTTATTGCATGCTATGCAGTGTACTACAATATTGTTACATACAAAAGCATTGGTCATATCACAATATTCTATTAATAGAGAAGCCTGTATTCTCACGAATTCTCTCTCATGTTTAGCATTCTTTTTTGTTTTGATATGTATGTTGTTATGTATGGAAGAAAAATACTCTTACTATTGAAATTTTTCAGTCATTCACATCATACTTGGGGCACCACAATGTATGTTGTTATGTATGGAAGAAAAATACTCTTACTATTGAAATTTTTCAGTCATTCACATCATACTTGGGACACCACAACGAGTAAGACGACTTAAGATCCACTACAGCTACCATTGCATTGTGTTGTTTTTCTCATTTGATAACAGCTTAGAAACTAAGATATTTTAACTGATACATTAAAAAAAAACCTCCAATAGTATAATATAGTTTAGATACAAACTGATTTAGTTGATAAAATATCTTATCAGTTACAATTATCTTTTGAAAGAGTTGTAAAAAGTAGTATAAATGATGGAAACTTACCCTAAGTATTTCAGGGGAAATATAATCTGGAGTCCCTACTGCTACATTGGACTGAACCTATCATATTTCAAGATACAAGAACAGTTGCAATTTAATGTAATACTGAAAAGTATAAATTATGTACAGAATTTTGATTTTAATTCTAAGAAGTATAAACAGAGAAAAGTTGGAGTCTTCAATGGAAAACTCCTGGCTCAGTTTTTGATCAAGAAATTCCAATACAACAATGTTTTTATAACCTGGGTACTAGATAGATTTCTTCAAAATCTTAACTCATTAAACCCACTCATATGTTCACAATGCTCAAACAAAAAACAAATCATGCTTTCCTAGGTGTTTTCACTGAATAGCTTAAACACAGTTATACCATCACAGTATACAAGAAACCTACTTAAACAAATGCCTTTACTACATCATTCCCACTTAATTAAAATGTGAAATTAAAAGAATGTATAATAGTTAAATGTATGAATAAGCCAGAAAAATCTACAAACAAGATCAACCAAGAGGAAAAAAAATTCATACGTTAGGTTTTCAAATCAAACAGTTCTGTCTCAAACTTTCTCGGTACTTCAGACACAAACTACTCAAATAAAGCAATCATACCAAATCGAAGATGAATTATTTTTTTTAAATTAAACTACAAACTTAGAAAAATTTGCCACTGACTAAACTTCAAAAATAACAATACATGCTTAGAGGAAAATTTATCAAAGTCCTACAATCAATCACTAAAGAAAAACAGAAAGGTATTCTATAAAGTATGTTATTCATGTTGCAGCTTCTACTTAGAAAAAAACAACATACAATAAATAAAAAATTCACTGTAAGTCTACTACATCAAAAACGCCTAGACACACAGAACACACTTACCAAACTAGCCTCATCATACACTGAAATAAATACTAAACCTCAACACTGAAAAATGACAACTCATAGAATCCTTTAAAATCAACATCCAAACTAACATCAAGACTTAAGGATCCACAACACATGGTTATAAAATCATTTGACCAAAATATCACAACAATGACATTCAATTAGAAAATACAAATACACATTAATACCAACAGCTACTAGAACACAAGCAAGACTTCAATAATATGTCCACAACAGGAACAGAAATGTCTCTGACACATAAGCCACAGTGACCTAAAGAAACTTCATAAATAAAACAGAAACTTCATTCATTTCAACAACATAAAAAAGAACTTCTCAGCACAAAACTACAATTTTACCTTGAGCAAGGATTTAGAAAAAAAAATTATAATTATAGTTAAAAAAAAAGATTATCTGTAAACATATTTTAGTCACAGTTATCAGGCCAACAGGAAGAATTCTGAAAGTAACACAATCATACCATGTCACTTAATAGCAATGATATCACTATTGCACACCTTGCTGTACTCATAGAAAACATAACACTGGACTTGTATTATATTTTTCTATTAAACAAGCAACAAAACAGTTACTTTGGTGCCATGCCTATCTCTCTAGCTGAATGTTTTAATTCCATCATGATCACTCATAGCACAACTATGATACCAGCACACAGCAAGTATATACACATTAGATATTTAAACACACACACACAAGTACTCATTTTTAAAACAAAACCTTTTTTTCTAACATATTTATTCTTTCTAGTACAGGAAAAAAGTGATACAGTCATGGTTGTGTAAGCCATATCAGTTCTAACAAACCCAAGTTACCATGACTGTTTAGGTTCACTGATTCATTTCAGGTCTGTACAGAAAATAACACCTTTAAGACTTCCAAAAAATTACACAAGGAAACAACATCAGCAAAATACAACTAACTGAGAGAAAAAAGAGTGCTGGCACATTTAGTGAAGAAGACGTAAAAGAATATGTTACAAATATTGTGGAAGGAATCAATTTTTTATTGGTGAAACTAATATTACCTATTAAAACCACAAGTTGAACAAATCATAGTTTTAATGGCTTAAAAGCTATTTATAAATCACTTCTCACAGAATTACAGAAATGTATGTGTGTGTGTGTGTGCCTACAGCAGTGCTGTGATCAATGCAACTAAAGCTAGACAAGCAAAGGCTAAAACTATATTGATGCATATATATATTTCAATATTTCCTCGAAGGCAGATTTTCATAAACACTTATTCTGTTTCCTCCACACAAGGTCCAAACAACTACATACAGTAATGACAAAAAAAAAGATTAAAACCTTGAGAAATATGACAAGTACTCAATAGTCAATTGGTAACTTAGACACTTGCAATGAACCAACAGTGAAAAGATGAGGTAAAATTATGTGTGGTGATTTCTGTTGACACCCTGTAACAATTAATGATAAAATGTACATCATACACTGTTTAAGCAACCCGGATGACACAGTCAGAAATGGTATGTTGCAAAGCACAACACTGATCTAAATCCCACCAAACCATGGTGGGATATCTCGGAAAAGCCAGATTCTAAGTCAGTATTCACCTCCAACAAAACTATGCCAACTGCAAGAGGTTATTGTCATAATGGAGAAAGCCTTGATACCATAGAATACCTTCAGATACCTAACCGAATCTATTACCGATGATGTTTTTGCTCTGCTTGATGCCCACACATTACTTACACAAAGTAATTTAGTGCATTTTTTTTTTAGCATTGTAAATCTTCATGAGAATACTAAACAGGCCACAAAAACAAACAGTTACATGGATGTTACCAAAAAAAGCATAAACATTTCTTTTATTTTACAAAATCTTTTAAATATGTCAGTTTAGATACTTTTCTACTGAATTCCTGTAAAAAAAAAAATTCATATTAGAATTATGAAATCTAAACAAAAACTCTTTCCTTCCCACATCAAATAGTGTTGTTGTCCATACAGAAAAATTACTAGAGTTCTGAATAAAAAAACATAAAACATTACAAAAGCATTTTCATACATCATAACAATACAGCAACAATTAGACAAGTATTGATAACATCTCTCAAGAATAATAAATATAAGATCATTTGTCAGCTCAAGCATTATTACAGGCTTCAATTATTTAATGAATTAGCTGAAAAAATTTTGCAAAGGGCAAAATGAAATTTTGCAATTCACATAACATTATTTATAATAAATAAAACTATTTAACCCAAATTCACATAGAATTTGGAGATTATCATTGTTTTATTCATTAAAGTTTTATTTTTACCAAAACCTAAGGTTAAGTTAAATTTGGAAATTTAGTTCTAATTGCATACTCTGTTTTTAGTTTTTCAAATTAAAATTAGTGGTTTCAACATCTTCAGTGTGTATTCTATGTTTGCCTTTCAATAAAACTTACAGTTCCATCATCAAGAAGTCTTAAACAAGAACCAAAGTCTGCAAGCCTGATGTGTCCATCAGTACCCAAAAGTATGTTGTCTGGTTTGATATCTCGATGTACATATTTCTGTTTATGAATAGCATCAATAGCCAGAATCATTTCACCCATGTAGAATTTAGTCATTTCTTCAGGCAGTCGATCTTCATATTTACTTAGCAAAGTCAGTAGGTCACCACCAGAGTAGTAGTCCATCACTAAATACTGGAAAAAGAGAGAAAGGCTCTATATGTAACAAATGTGTTGCCAAGTTATTTTTTATTAACAAGATAGTTTCTTTCTACTCATCAACAACAAACTAAAAGAGCTTGTTTTAAGGTAGCATCATATTACTTTTTAATTTCATTAAGTAATACTTCCATACTGAATTGTTCAATATTGATGCATATATATATTAATAGTTCCTTGAAGGCAGATTATCATAAACACTTGTTCTGTTTCCTCCACATAAGGGTCAAAACAACTATATAAAGTAATGGAAAAAAAGATTAAAACCTTGAGATATATGACAGGTACTCAACAGTCAACTGGTAACTTGGACACTATCTACTATTGTCAATTCATAAGAGAAAAAGATTCCAGTTTTAAATCTAAGCAAGTCCTCCTTAGAAAAGGATTAGAAACAAGTATTACTGATTTCATTTTGCTTTTAAGATAGTTTTCAATTAAAAAATTTCTCTTTATATTACAATAGATACAATATCAAAACTATACAAATGTGAAATACTTAGAGAATGAAGCTGAAAGTAGAGGTTGAGGACATGCCTGTTACCAAGTCACTACATCAAATTTGCTCAGAAAATATAAACATTATTCAATAGATTATCCACCATTCAAGATACTGGTTGTCACTAGGGAAGATTATAATGTTCATTTTATTGATCAGCACAAAGCTGAAATTAAATTACTCATTTTGTTGTTAACCCTAGAATGCCAGCATTAAATTTTCAATCACTAACACCAGGTAGTGACCTCACACTGGCATTCTAGGGTTAAGAGTAAAAGGACTGAGCCCCAAATTTTAGCATTATAACCTATCAAGCTTACTGTTGAACCACTGTGGAAAATTATAGTTTCATATAATTCCAGGTACAATGAACCCTCAAGCAGTGAATTATTCCAGCTTTATGGAAAATGCCCTAAGTTGGTAAACAACTATAGTTAAAAAATTGAAGGGAGACAAATGTTACATGTGCTGTCTGGTAATAAGTTTGAAAACGCATACACGACTTATTTTGTCAAATACCATTTATATCATTTAGTACAACAATAAACTGAACATGCACGCAATTTTCACAATGATATACAACACAGGCTGTCAGTAAATGCTAAATTACCATTAAACAACAGCAGTGTTTAAAATTAATATGCACCCTTAATGTGCTCTAAAATGATATAATAAATGTAGCCTTAACACTTGTATAAAGCAAGAAAAACAGTTTCAAGACAATCAAGTATATTCACATATATATACAACTGTTTTCCTACACCCAGTTCAACTTACTCTATGAAACTTCTTTATTTACTTGAACAAGGATGTATATATACTGCCAGGATGTTGAATATTTTAGCAACTGATGAAATAAAGGTAACTACACCAGCTAAAAAGGTTGACACAACAATACCCAACTTATTTCTTAAAAACATGAGATGTGTAAATTGAATATCTAATTGCATTTCAAAACTTATGAAAGAAGAAAAGTTAAATATAACATATGAAAAAGTCATATAGTAGGAATTCATATATATAAAAATAGCACAAAAGTCCCATTACCACAATTAAATACTTTACAAACACAGGCTTACAAAACCACCATTAAGAGATACTGGTTTCCTCCATTACTATTAAAAAACTTAAGGTATCACACAAGGGTAACAATCATGTATATTAATGTACTACCTTTGTGATCTGACATTCATGTAAATTAATGTACTACCCTTAGGTGTTCTGACACTCGTGTAGACCGGTGAATAATGTATGTTACATACCAGATTGCTCTCATCTTGGAAAGCATAATGAAGATTAGTTATCCATCTTTTATCTCCATTAATCAGAACATCTCTTTCTTCTTGGAAACAAGCAGTCTGTATAAATTAAATATGAAAAATAAAAATGAAACAACAGTAATAACCTACACTATTTAATGCAATTTTACTGAAATTCTGTCAAAAAGTGACTGGCTTCAATATAAAGAAAATTAAATTCCAGTAAAAATTATTATTCTATACCCAGGCTTCAAAACAAAGTTACTCTATTCATGGACTATATAAAATGTGTACAATATACTTTTATAAAAACTAAGTTTATAATTAGCTTGAAATATTTTTTTTTGCATTTCTTAGTGAACAGAAAAAAAGAGAGTAGGATTTGACATAGAGCCGATATTTCATAAATTTCACTTCTTAAAACCTCTACACAACACTTTTACTTCAAATCACTTTGTTCCTGTACTTCTTCATACAAGGTAGCTGCTAATAAAATTAGAACTGTTCATCTGTTTGATCACACTGTATTACTAAACACTACAATGTTTGTAACCTTTTCTATCCATTATTATTTCACAAGCTACTTATATTCTGCCCTTCAGAACCACTTTGTCTATAGTTATATTAATTAACCCTTTTGGGACGGGTCACGGGTGAAAGGCCACGTCATCTCGTTTGTTGACTCGCATTCAAAATTTTATTTCACGAAGTTACGTCAATAAGTTTGGTATCAAACTGTAGATTATAGTTCAAATTTTAGTACAATACATTACTCAATTTCTTAATTTAAAAGTAAATGTTAAAAACGCAGATAAACATTAATTTTTGTGTGTCATGTGGTATGTTGAATGCAGCACTGGTTCAAATTAGATGTTTGTGAAGTCAAAATACTAAGTCTATAGTTTTGTACAAATTAGAAACTCAAATTACTGATATTGACAAGCTAGAATACAAAATAAGAAGGTATTATCTTTTCTATTTGCTAAGATATTGCTCATGTAATAAATTGAACATGGTGGCACTCCGCCCATCTCTTTCCATTTTTGGAAACACTCCCTTATATACAATTACTTCTATATATGACATAAGTAACCAATTGGAAGCTTAGAATGTTCCCCCTAGTGGCTTTCTCAGCCATTTTAATGGGCTTGAATGCCATTTCTTTCTTTTGAACCAAAATTTCAAAGAGGTAGGGTATCTCTTTAGTCTGCTCAAAATTTCATATTTTTTAGACTAAAATAC